CGGACTCACCTAGCCAAACCAAATGTTTAGGCTTTGTTCGGACTATTTATTAGATGGTTTATGTGAGTTTGCACAAAATCGGTCGAGCGGTTCTTCATTTATCACATTTTTTGTAATAAATTAATTATTCAATAAATAGGGCAAGTACACGATCTGACAGTTTGACACTATTGACAGTCGCCTTGAGGTAAAACAAAGACATAATTTACAGTGTTTTTTAAGTTTTTGGTTAGATTTTTTTAAATAAATACCTTTTGTGTGCTCCAGAAGTTTCTTGGACATGCCTAGAGTTTGTTTAGTTGGTTATTGTGGCAGTATAGCGCAAGGGATACAATATCCTTCCATAGGTTTCCATCAATTTTGAATAACAATGGGAGGTTTGATTTGTTAGCTCAAGAAAGAAGAGAAAAATTGATTATTGTTCCTAAAAGAAAGATCTAACAGAAAAATAGATTGAATATAGAGTAACTGTACTTATATATTTGTTCTTGTGACACTTGGTTTTGATATTTGTTGGAAAAAAGCTGAATTTAATCCATTATAGGAAAACCTAGCAAACTTTTAGATAAAAAACCACATGGACATGCCCTATAGGGCATGTCCATGTGACGTCACAAATGAGTTTGGCAATCGCCCTGAGGTAAAACAAATCATTTATTTACATTCGTGTAGATTAGGCCGGTTATGTTATATGCGGTTTTCCCAGCTTTTTTACAAGTTTTGGTGTTATTTTGTTTTAAAAATGTTAGAGCGGAGTGTTTGTGTTCCAGTCCATGTGGTTTTTTATCTAAAAGTTTTTACCAAAAGCAAAAATGTCAGTTCCAACGGGTTCCCAACATCTAGTAGGAAGCGGATAATGTGAAAGTGTTTCTTTTAAATTCTTTTTAGCAAACTTTTCGCAAACTTGACATGCCTTTATAAATGATTCAATATCTGAGGCTTGTCCTGGCCAGTAAAATATTTTATCTACGACCTTCACAATCAATAAGTGACTATTATGTCACTAATTTTTGCTCATTTGTGTTATGTAATAAGCCATATTACCGCACTAGTGCGGTAATAAATCATAACGCGTTCATTATCGCACTAGTGCGGTAAGAGGTCATTATTTTTAAAATAACTACACAATCGAGTACACAATACCTAGTTATTTATAATAGACAAACGGCAATAGTCAGTTATTGTGCAGGTCGTAGATAAAATGTTGTATATCACACGTACAGTAAGGCTCATCATTACAACACTCGTGTGGTTACCACGACTCGGTCTACGACCTCGTCGTGGCCATATTCTCCACTCGTTACTGTAATGAAGCTCATACCGTACTACTAGTAATAAAAATAACTATTTCGCGCACGGTTTTTTGTTTTTTCGATGCTTAAATGGCCCTCATGAACAAGTTTAAGCATCTCAACTCTAAGTTTTGTTGGCACTATCATTTTGTTTTCTGAAAATACCAAATTATCAGACACAATATATTTGATCTTCAAGTTTCACATAAGTTTTAATTGAATCTGGTATCTTATGTTTTAGAAGGGGCCAACCATTATTTATATCATTAATTTCTTTTAAATGAGGGTCATTCAGGGTTTCTTGTCTAAATTGTTTTTTTCTTTCAGTTGATATAGGAATGTAATTAGTTATTGCATGAACTGAATACTCAATTTCTGAGTCAGATTTCAAACCAGTCGTATTCAAAAAGGCTCTTGAGAGCGTGTCGGAAATATACATTTCCTTACCAGGCTTATACGTAATTGAGAGTTTATAATTTAACATTTTAAGTCTCATTCTTTGAAGTCGAGAAGAAATTGAATGCACATTTTACTTAAAAATTAATAGTCTCTAACGGCTTATAGTCACTGTAAACTTTTACATCTAGGCCATAATAGTTATTTATGTATCAAGTGTACTAAGTAGATGATTATGCCCTGAGGGCGACAGCCTTACAAAGCCGAGGGCCTCTGGCCCGAGGGTTCGTAAGTCGCCCGAGGGTATATATCTATTAGTACCCGTGGTGCATACAAACTTTATTTGAAATCGATGCAACTATGCGTACACGCAAACGACGTCATTTGCGGCGTAATTGTCAACCTGATGTTTAGAATGGCACATTATGCCCGCGCGGGCCAGAATGTGTACTTTATGCCCGCACTGGCATAAAGTGATGAATTATGTAGATGGTATGTAAGGTATAAAAATACAATAATAAACTGGTATGACATAAATAAATAAATGAAACTTTTGGACAGTAAATAATATGGCCAATGTATCTTTTTCTATTTGTGCATATTTTTGTTCGGTCTTGGTCAAGCTTCTGGATCCAAAGGCTACAGGATGACCTTCTTGTAGTAAACAAGCAGCAATACCGTCCTTTGACACATCAGTTTCAATGACCACTCCCTTTTCAGGATCGAAAAATATTAAAACTGGAGCACTGGTAAGCAAATTTTTCAACTGCTCAACAACCAATGTATGATCATCACTCTAATGTCAATTGACGTCATCTCGAGTAAAGTTCCGTAAAGGCGCAGTTAATTTAGATAAATTGGGAATAAATTTTACCGCAAATTTAAGCAACGTAGCTTTGTTTGTTGGGTTGGGCATCTCTACATTTGCCTCAACATAGTTTTTATTACTCGAGATACCAGCTTTTGAAAAGATTTGGCCTGAGAGTTTGACACTTGGTAGTTTGAACTGTATTTTTGGTTTATTGAATTTTACGTTATATTTTTCAGCCCTTTTCAGAAATAATCTTAAATTTGCATCATGTTCTTTCTCTGTTGACCCAGTGACTATCAAATCATCAAAATACAATTCAACTCTCTCGATATCACCAAACAACTCGTGTTTTTTTTTTTCTGGAATACCTCCGGAGCTGATGAGATACCAAATGGCATTTTGAAAAATTGATATCTACCAAAAAACGTTCCAAACGTACACAAAACAGCATTCTCAGGGTTAAGCTTGAATTGCCAATACCCATCACGCTTGTCTGAAACAGTAAAGTAACATTTACCCGATAACTTTAAGGATATTTCTTCTAGAAAGGGTACCTATCAAGAAATGTTCCCTTTTAAAAGATTCGTTCAACTGGTCTGGGTCAAGGTATACACGCAAATCCTCATTTGACTTTTTTACTATCACCAAAGCATTTAACCATACGGTTGGTTCACCTACTCTTTTAATAATGCCTCGTATTTCAAGGTCTTCCAGCTTTTGCTTTAATCAGGCATGTAACATTCTTGGTGCCCTTCTAATTGGTGTAAGTTTTGGCACAGCATTATCTTTTAAAGAGATATGATAGGTACTTGGAAATTTACTTAACCCTTCAAATACTCATTAACAAGGTTATCAACACTACTAAAAGATAAGGAACTCTGACTTCCTACACTGTCTATACGTTTTATCAAATTTGATTTTATGCCATCGCTTAAACTTAGCAATGGTAGCTGACCTACGCTTTCAACAAGAACAAACAAAAATTTCCTGGAAAAATCAATAATTTTACAACATAAAACAATCTGTAATAAGACAAGCTCACCAACTGACTTGATTTTAAATTTGGAGCTACCATACGAAACTAATGAAATATTTGTACTATTTACAGGAACATCTAACTTAAGCGACTCAAAAATATATTTTGGCAAAATACTTATCTCTGCACTGGTATCCAACTTAAAGTCTACTCAATAATTGTCTATAAATACCTGTTTCATCAAGCATTTTTATATGTTACCTATTTCCTCAACAGTGTCAATTATTTTGACCACAGAATCAACGTATAACCATCGCTGTCACTGTGGCTGGAATTACTAGTCTCATCTTCTTACACTTCATGCATTTGTCTTTTTCCATATTTTTCCTTCTTCTTTTCGGATACTTTCTTCTTGCTTTTATCATGATCTTTTTTGGTGTTGTGACACATTTTAGCAAAATGGTGACGTCCCTGGCATACGGCATAAGTTTTATTGTATGCAGAGCAAGACCTTGTTCTATGTATGCAACTACAAAACTTGCAAATTTATTCTGTGTTACTTAAACTGCTTGTTGCCTGATTTTTAGGTCTGTAATTCTCATACTTATCAAGATTTAGTTTACCTTCTTGTAATATTCTCTCGTGTGTTTTTGTCCCAAACTCCCATAACTATTCGATCTCTGATCATGTCATCTTGCTGTTTATAACTTGTTGTTTTTACTGCTTTCCGACGTTTTGTGAGAAAACTGTCCAATATCTGTCCTTCTTTCTGCATAATGGAATTAAATTTGTACCTTTCAAAAATCAAGTTTTTCTTCGGAGCACAACATTCCTCAAACTTCTCTTCAATTTTATCCAACAACGATTCGTCTCCTTCCACAAACTTGACACTATTAAATAGCTCAAGGCCCTCATCTCCAATAAGGTTCAAAAATACTGTTACTTACCTTTTTTTTATCTGGTCTGGTTAGCTCGATAAACCGGTGGCAGTCAAAAACAACTTAATTTTTTGCGAGAATCGCTTCCATTTTTCAGCGATATTATTATCCAGGACTAACGGCTCAGGTGATTTGTATATTGCCTCCATTTTGTGTCACAAACTCAATCCTTTTTGCAAAACTAGCGCCAAGAAGTAAGGTTGCTCCAGTTAACCTAACCTTGGTTTGTTTACACTATCAAAATAACCAACAAGCGGCTTTTACACAGTCTCTACGTTTCACAACTATACTCCACAATCATCTGGCTCACAAGCGACCATGTTGCTCTCTCCCTCTAGACCTACCATGGTCTAGGGGGACATGTTACCTACTAGCCACAGTATAGGCTTACTATATTAAATATACCCTAATAGAATAGATGCCTTCAGGGAACAACCAGTGGAAAAGGTTTGAGAAAACCAAACGCAGTCCGCTTGATGGAAACAGTTTTGGGTTTGTTACAGTTTTGTTTTTGTTATTCAGGTTTAGAAAAAACTGACAAAACACAAACTCAACTGTCCGTCTAGTGGAAAACCGACATTAGATGTAAGATACATTTAATTGAACCTCCAAGAAATTATTCTATTTGTCATTTACATTATGAAACGAATAAAGCTTAGTAAACCGAAGCTGGTGGGGCATTGCAGTTGTCTTCATAACAAATGTTGCACCCAGCATCAAATCCTTCCTTCTTTTCCGCTTCAATTATCTGTTCACAGGTTCCAGTAGTCGGGTCCCAGCAGGCAGAATATGAAGCATTTTCTAAAAAAATGATTATTATTATCAGTGATATTTGCATAAATAATAACAGATGATACAATGCAAATAATTTATTGTTGTTGGGCTTAGTGGGAAATGATTAATAAAGGACTAACACGACGTTGGAAACCTCTTTTTTCTACGACTGCTCTAGAACGCTATTAAAAACGCACTACGAAACTTACCTACCTAGGAAATCGATTATTTCGAACAGCGTGCGAAAAGTACTTTTCACATGCCAAGAAGCGTGCGAAATGTACTTTTCACACACTAAAATAGAGATTGTCCACTGAATTTTTGCTTTGACAATAATTATGATAATTCTTTCTCCACTTTTAGTTTATGGCAACCTTACTTTAGTCTTCGGATATACATCCAGAACATGTGAGCATAATGGGTGCATTCTGGCGGTCCCATCGGCTAAGCTCAGCCACTCAGCAGGGACTCTATTCTCGAAACCAAGGAACACCGTTCTCAGAAGAACATTGCTCTGTCATTGTCAGTGTTATGCCGGACGACAAAGACAGAACGTGCGTTCCAATGAGAATGCTGCTCCCCTGTTTCGAGAATAAAGTTCCCGCTGAGTAGCTGAACTAAGCCGCTGGCACCGCCTGAATGTACCCAATGTCTATACATATCTCAATAATAAATTCTCCATACATAAAAAATATCTGTATTCAAGAATGATTCCTTCTATAGAAAAAATGCTGAAATATGTACAAAAAAATGATTCTTAGTGTGAATTATTAATATAAACTGCTGGAACTTCGATACGCATAAAGAAATTTTTTGCCTATTTTTGAAGTCAAATATGTCGGAAAGTATAAGAGATATTTGATTGCGGTTTGAAGCATATTGGGGCGCATTATTTGGTGTTCAAGATATATGGTATCGTACTGATATACAGTAACGTTATCTTCAACATACAGGGTGGACAATAAAACAGTGCAAAGTTTGACAAATTTCAGGGTGTCGCCATTTCTTTTCAAACATACTCCTGCTTTTTTTCTGGGTTCAAGAAGAATCAGTAGTTCAATGGTAAAAAACAACTTGAAGGGTTTTTGAATAAATCTCGTAGTTTCGCAAAAATTTCAGTTCAACTGAAAAACGACTTTTATCACCCTGAGTCTCAGTTACTCAAAACAATTTTTTTGATTATTGTGGGTTCAACGTTTTCGTCTTTTTTGGTTTAGAGAAGATTTTATACAGGGTAAAAAAACAAATAGGTTTTTATAACTCATTATTGGGAGGTCCGTAAAGATAGTATGTGGATAATTGGGCCTCAAAGTAACTAAAGATAGCACGTGTCGTAACACGTAACATGAACTGCGATGTATAGGGGACACAGTTTTATTTGTTAATTGATATGGCACCAATTTTTTTTTTGCTTTATTGTATGACCATTCTGAGAGCAAAATATGATTATATTATGTTTCCTAGGTAGAAAAGCTATTCTGTTCTCGAGACGTCGAGATATTTGGTGAATTATTAGCACGTACCATGTCATAAGGGGGCTACTTATATACAGGGGTGCTAAAAGGTACCGGAACCGTTGAATCTCTTTAAGCCCACTTATGCCGCTTTCCCAGATTTCATCATCTGGAGGTTTCTGGACAAACAAAATTGGACAATGATGTAGGGTGAAGCTGGTAGATCTGACAGCAGCGCCGATATCATTATTATTATTATTATATAGCATTTATTGTTATTAATCTTTCAATTTGTACATTTATGACTTATCCTAAACAATAAATACAGGGTTTTCCCACAAGAGAATCCTCGTACGTGGGAATATATACATATATACAACATAAGTATTTAATATCTAATCTAATTCTAATCTAACCCAATAATTACAATAAATCAATTTATTTCCTGATATTTCTTACCAAATAAAAATTCAGGCAACCTTAGGAATCCTCTACAAGAGTGGAACTCGCGCGTAGAATGGGATATAAGGTCCCCCGAACAATCACCCAGGAAAATGACCAATTAACTACCTATCATTGAATTATTCAATTTTGTATCTCCGGAAAGAAATGCAGGTTTTCGAAGCGGGCTTGGAAGAGCTTCAACTGTTCTGGTCCTTTTTACCACCCCTGTATAAATAGCCCCCCCGATGACATGGTACGTGCTAATAATTCACCAAATATCTTGGCGTCTCGAGAAGAGAATAGCTTTTTCACCTAGGAAACATAATATAATCATATTTTGCTCTTAGAATGGTTATACAAAAGGCAATTTTTCGCGAGGATAATCAAACATAATCTGATTAGTCTGAGTTATTTTATGCGTCAATTGTGTCATACTTCCCTTAGTCTCTCTCCGTCTAATTTTGGGCCTGCGAGTGACGTCACTATCAGCAGCTTATAGTAATGACGTCGCCCGCAAACCTCTATGGAATGCTTCCGATTTAGGCTGTGCTAGTGAGTTAATTTTTTCGTCGATTTCAAGGTACGGTTTATAAGGGCATTGCACGACGCACAACTCACATTCTGTCGAACGCCACGCACGTCTGTTAAAATCAACCGAGTGTAAGTTATATAGACCGGTTTGTTGACTTTGCGCAGGTGAGCGCGACATACAGCGTCAGCAGTGTGTCAAACATCGTGCTGAATAGATTCTGCTGACGTTCACGTTGTGAGTTGTGCGTCGCGCACTGTCCTAAGAAACTGTACCTTTAAATGTAGAAAAAGTGATTTTCGGTCTATTCTCACAGAAAAAATTAAGCGTTCTTGATCCTCGAGTATTCCAGAATTTGATGGTGGGGGACTTAGGGAGCATGACACATGTGACACATCATATAATACAGCATAGCATAATCGATTATACTTGATTATCCTCGCGAAAAATAGCCTAATAAAGCAGAGAAAGTTTGGTGAGTACCATATCAATTGACAAAGAGGGCTGTGCCCCCTATTAATCTGAGTAGGTACATGTTACGTGTTTGGACGCATACTATCTATAGTTACTCAGAGGCGCAATTATCTTCACGGACCATTCAATAATGAGTATTGAAAACTTACTTTTTTTCCACCCTGTATGAAATCTTTTTGAAACAAGAAAAGATGAAAACGTCGAACCAACAATAATGAAGAACATTGTTTCGAATAACTGAGACAAACCTTGCGTTCGGTATTTTGCTCAAAGAGCAGAGCGTGCTGAGCGGAGCCGTAATCACGTGATCAGTGAGCGAACAGAGCAGTTGAACGCTGAATAAAAGTGCCAGAAATTTCAATAAACGAACGCGAATGAGGCTGCACCGAGTACACTTTTTAAATAAACGAACGGTAAAGTCAAGCTCGGAGAACTCGGACCAAAATAACGAACGCACGGAAAGAATCAGGATGATGAAAGTCATTTTTCAGTTGAATTGAAATTTCTGCAAAACTACGAGATTTATTCAAAAACCCTTCAAGTTGTTTTTTACCATTGAACTACTGATTCTTCTTGAACCCAGAAAAAAAGCAGGAGTATGTTTGAAAAGAAATGGCGACGCCCTAAAATTTGTCAAACTTTGCACTGTTTTATTGTCCACCCTGTATGTTGAAGATAATGTTTATGTTCATCAGCACGATACCATATACCTTAAACACCAAACAATGCGCCCCAATATGCTTCAAACCGCAATCAAATATCTCTTATACTTTCTGAGATATTTGACTTCAAAAATAGGCAAAAAATTTCATTATGCGTATCGAAGTTCCAGCAGTTTAGTTATGTCGCAGTCGTAGAGAAGTGTGACAAAAATCATAGCGTTTAGCATTTCTTCTATTAGATGGGGATTTCAATTAAATAATAGATATTTACGATACAAGTGAGTTAACAGCATACTTAAGATACGCATGTGGAAGTTACATGAGTGCGTAGCACGAATTGTGCATCTCACTGCTACGTAGATAAATAATATATTATGTGTATAATGGTGTTTTCATTCCCAATGTCTCCAATGGTTGCAAGGATTGCGAAATCTGTTAATTTTTCTACTAGATAACAATATTGAAACGGGTCAAAACGACTACTTTGGTCACTCGAAGGTTAAGTTTCTTTCTTTAGGTGACATTATTGCAGATACATATTAATATATAGATCTGAGTACTTTACTTACGTCTTGGTCCATAGTCAACCCAGAAAGATATACATCCTGGAGCATCACTTAAACCTTGATCAATGCAAGCGGCATTATTTTGGCAAATTCCATATGCACAAACGGAACAATACTGAACAGCTAACGCTAGGCCTGAAATTTTTTAGATACTTGATGAAAATAATGCACATAATATCTAATAAAATTCACTTACTGCAGCAAGATAAAACTAGGAAGAGAGAGATAATTTTCATGATTTGTTTTGTTTAATATATCAAACTACAATTCTTGAAACAATCCGTACCCTATAGTTCCAGCTTTTATATAGGTTTAGATTTTTTCTAATCTCGGAAACCGTTCAAGTGGTTCAAGGTATTCTCGAAGTTTTAGAGATAAATTTCGGTGGTTTGTTGTCATCTATTTTGTTTCTGATTTTATCTAGTTTGATTTTTCAAATTGGACACTTAAATTTAGTTGCTGAAAGGTGTAATTTCAATGCCTGGAAAAATAATTGGCTGTTGATTCGATTGTTTCCAATTGTTTTCTTGTCGTAAGCTCCCATGTAGTTTCAGGTATTTTGTATATTTTAGCATTCAGCTAAAAATTGTGGTTTCTGAAGTACCTATCTATCGAGTCGATTGATTATTGGCTGAGATATTCTGTCGATTCATTGGCAGTTGGTCACAAGGTCTGAGAGCTTACTTCTTTGAGATGGTTCATAGATTTTGTTAAAAATGGTTTGGTGTAGTCCAACTTATTGCAATGGTAACCTGTTATTTAAAATAAAGTACTCACCGATATTAACAAGCAAAGTTTACTTCGGTTTTATGTCTAGCTGTTAATTTATGTACCTATGTTTGTTTATGAAGATTACAGTGCCTTGGTGCCTTTCAACAAGTGTTCAACAATCGAGGCTAGAAAGCTGTTTAACAGCAAAAACTACTGGAAGCTGGACAAACTACAGGACAGCCCTCACAAAATATAGAATGTGAAGAGTGCCTTGGTGCAACGTGGAACTAGAGCGTTCAACAATCGAGGCTAGATATCTGTTTAACAGTAAAAACTACTGCAAGCTGGACAAACTACAGGACAGCCCTCAACAAGTATAAAATCAACTTCTAAGTTTAGGAAATCTGAGACGAAAACTTCTTGAACGCAGTTTTGCGAGAAAATGGTGCTGGCTTATTGAAGAAGCCGAACGGAGAATACTGGTATAAACGATCAGAATATTTCAAGACGTTGGCCTGTCCTATCATATCACTTAGAAACTAGGTAGTATCGCTCTGGCGAACTGTTATCACGAGTTTGAAAGAAGAAGAAAGAAGTTGCTAACCTCTCTTTCACAACCGCCGCCAAATCCTCATTATTCGTTTCTCGCGCGTGTGAACAGAAACCACTTGTTTTTTACTGTTATAAAGAATTCAACAGATGTTACAAATAATGAGCCGCTCTTCAGGATCCAGCTCTAGATCAACATCTGAGAGATCCCACAGATCCCGACTCAAGTAAGGAACATTATAAATCTAAGAGGGTTAGGTCTAAAGTCCTAAAGGTCCATAGGCCTTCACAACAAACCGATGCTAGGTCCAATAGGATGTTAGCATCAAAGTGGGATGCGGCCAATAGGTCTACTAGCCCCAACATGGCGTTCATGCATAATGCATCTAGGGAGTCTAATAGGACTCCTCAAGATCAGGAAAATATTCCCCAAAACGAGGAAAATATTCCTCCCTATGAAGAGGAAAATATTCCTTCCCAAGATCCTTGCTGTTCCAGTGCCATACCAGAGAATTCCCTTTTAGACCAGGAAATGCTAGAGTGTTGGGGTGAAAATCTTTTGAAAAAAAAAACCACCGGCATAAGTATTCCCCAATCTCTAGCAAAGATATGGGATGAACTATTGGCTGGAGGAGCTAGCAACGAGACCATAAGGGATCTTTTGCTCTATGCACCAAAAATCCGAATACATAATATAAGATTCCTAAAAGTACCCACTCTAAACCCGGAATTATCCAGCCTGGTAAACGGGGGTGCCAAGGAAATAAAAACTTTGGAATACAAATTAAGTCTGCTGCAGGAATACCTGGCACCAGCAATCACAGGTGTTGGATATTTAACAAACACTTTGCTGAACGAGAAGGAAAAATCTCAAAGGGAAAAAGAAGCGTTTAAACATGCAGCATGCAGGTAAAGTGGGGCAGATTTTGACAATCTCCCACCACATAGTCTCCAACCATAAAGGGTGAGTTTTTTAAAGTGTTACAATGCGATATATCAAAAACAGCTGCAATTTTTTTTTTTGACAATTTGGTGACGTAATAAGTACACGGGGGGGACACATTTTACGATACTTTTGACATTTCCCCCTTCACTCTACGAGTGGGGGGTCATTTTTTTATTTTAAATGGAAAGATGTGTTTTTTATTCTGAAATACGATTCTACATACAAAATGGAGTCTGTTCACAAATTATTTTTCAAATTCTTCAACTAAATATGGAATTATGACTAAAAGGTAACGACAATTAAAAAAATTCTTATCGCCTAATTTTTAATTATCTATCGTCTATTATGCCTAAGAAGTTGTTCAAAATGGCCCCCTTCAACTTCCAAACATTTCCTTATTCTTTCTCGGAATGAATTTCGTACTCGTTGTAACATTGCTGGAGTCACCAATAAACATGCAGAACGATTTCTGTTTTTCATGTTCTCTGGAGTCGTAGAAGTCATAGGAGCAGTAGCCATTACTTATCCTTTTATAAATCCTAATAAAAAAATTCAAGGGGGTCCAAACTGAATAGGAACTGATAAAAAATGATTTGAATCTTGTAATTATTAAAAAAAGCTGCATCAGAAAAAATCCCAATATTCAAAAATTGGTAATTTTCGCGCATTTTTCTTGAAGCCCAAGTGCAAAAATTCATGCGATTCTCAAAGTCATGACCCTAAAGCTCTTGATGAATTATTGTGATGTGGTAAGGATGAAACTTGTACCTGTGCAGAATTGCTATAAATTATTATTTGACTTATTCTAGCATCTAAAGCAAGCCGCCCAGAGTGTCCCTATTCTTGAAACAGGGGAGCAGTGTTCCCAGGAGAACGAGTTCTGTCTTTCTCAATGATATGAAAATAATAATATAAGTAACGAAAACAGAACACTCGTTCTCCTGGGAGCGGTGCTCCCCTATTTCAAGAATAAGGACTCTGTACTTGTTTGAGGAGCTATCCTATGAAAGTTATCCCTGTTGCCATCGAAACCCCAATGTTTATTTAAGTATGTCACATAAGAAATTTTACGTGTCATTGATAATTGAATTGTGTTCAAAAAGAAAAAACATGGAAGCGAATTTTAATGTAGAAGTTGATATGTTATTAATTTTGGCAGAGTGGAGAAAAAAATATAGGGAGGCTGCAAGTCTGTGGAGAGAGAGAGAGAGAGATTTCCGAATATTCCAAAATCTCATATGGCCTTCAAAAGATTGGAAACCAGAAGTCGTATGACTGGTAGTCTAAAAGCCAAACCAAGAGTTAGGACTAGAACTCAAACAAATGAAAATATGGCAGTTGGTATTTTAGGAGCGGTAGCTATTGATCCTCAAACAAGTACAAGGCGGCTTGCTTTAGAATCTTTAGATGCTGGAATAAGTCAATCATCAATTATAGCAATTCTGCACAGGCACAAGTATCATCCTTACCATATTACACTCCATCAAGAGCTACCCGGAAATGACTTTGAGAATCGCATGAATTTTTGCACTTGGGTTTCAAGAAAAATGCGCGAAAATGACCATTTTTTGTATGGGTGTCCCTAATCACCCGGATCTTCCGGTTGAATATTTTTTTTTTTTATTAGCCCAGAATTTCCGGATTATTATTATATTATTATTCGTCCGGATTGTTTTTTTACTTGTGTACCAGTTTACCAGTAGTCCAGTACACTTATATCCAGTATTAAATGAACTGTAATGAAACTAGCCAAAAATATGCAAACTAGCCCAAACTAACCCGTCCACGTAATGCGTATTAGTCCTTGCATGTATTGAATTTAGAAAAAAACAGCGCGCTTTGTTATTAACTAGTAGTCCAGTACACTTATAACCAGTATTAAATGAACTGCAACGAAACTAATCAAAAATATGCAAACTAACCCGTCCACGTAATGCGTACTAGTCCTTGCATTGTCGAAAAAATTCAAATATCGAATTTCAAAAAAATAAAAAATTCTATCGGATAGAGGAGCAAAAAATACGTCAAAAAGTAAATTTGACCCTCCTCGCTACGGTACATCTTAAGGCCGAAAAAAAATAAAAAAGGAAATTTTGATTTTGATCAGAAAAAAATTGTGGGTATCCGACACGAGACCACTTTTTCGCCTATAACTCCGCTACTTCTTAACCGATCGTTTCCAGTCATATCTAATTTGAAAGAGGATTAAATTATCTACAAAATTTTATTTTATGGAGTTTCTAGGCCGTTTTTGTCTTTGAGATATTGGCCGTCAAAGTTGAAATTTATTGTAATTTTGTTAAAATTTTCGAGGTCGATTTTCTCGAAAACGGTTCCCCGTGGAGGGATACCTCTAATAAGCTTTTTTGTAGTACTCGACGAGATCTATAAGTTTTACATTTAAAGTTTTTCTCCCAAGCTTTTCGTTTTTGAGTTAGGACGGTTTCAAAATTAAAAAAAAAAAATCGAAGGCTTACCTTTGAATTTTTTTGTCGAAAAAATTCAAATACTTATCGAATTCAAAAAAAAAAAAAAATCTATCGGATAGAGGAGCAAAAAATACGTCAAAAAGTAAATCTGACCCTTCTCGCTGCGGTACATCTTAAGGCCGAAAAAAAATAAAAAAGGAAATTTCGATTTTGATCAGAAAAAAAATGGGGGAATCCGGCACACAATAAAAAATTCAAATTCGAAATTGGCGGCGCGGCGCCAGCGCTAGCGCAATGGGGCCTGGGGTATGGGGAGTAATGATTGTGTCATTGAAGGGGTTAATGGTGTATTATTTTCCGGACGAATAATAATAAAATAATAATTCGGAAATTCCGGGTTAAGAAAAAAAAAAATCGACCGGAAGTTCCGTAACATTATCCACACTGTTTTTGGGTAGTGTTATTTTTTCTGAAGAAGCTTCTTTCAATAATTGTGGCCAGGTAAGATTCAAATTATTTTTTACTAGTTCATATTCAGATAGAGTTATTGGCCCGCTTTTTTTTCAAGGTCGTTTAGATGGACAAGTGTACGAAGTTTTTTTAAGAAATCAGTTACCTAGATTACTGAACCAGAATATTAATCCAGACGTATGGTTTCAGC